AGTACACAACTTACCCATAATGAGGAGAAAACGAAAGATACAGAAAATTTATCTTGGCTGAAATATATCTCTTTTACTTTGCAGGCGTAAAAGGGGAAACTTGATTGAATCATTTTGCATGAATCATTGAGGCTCAGCATCTAGACTTTATATGTAAAGCTGTACTGATCAAATTAAATTTCTTGTCAAATTGTTTCATCAAATCCCTAACGAAAATAAAATAATTCACCGACCTTTTCCAATTTTGTGAAAAGTATGTCTACAATTGATGTAACGAGATGCAGCGCTGAACCAATGAGTCCATTTCTTCATTAAGGCCACCGGTTTTAGTCAACCATTTAAGTGGAGAAGTGGGAAAAACTTTAAAGAAAGAGACAAAACCAATCAATCTGGTTGGCCCAAGCTTTCAACTTAGGCTTGCACCAACTTGGTATTTGAGTCCCTTGCCAGCACTAGCTCTGCCAACCCAAGCTCTTCGTTATCTTAAAATTCTTTGTTTTTATTTGTGTGTGATAGTATGCAATTGTACTATTCAATTTTGGAGAAAAGAAGAAAAAGATATTGCTTTTGCATATTATTTTGTGTATGTTAATTTGCAACTGAAAGGACTCATCATCTTCCAACTTTCCTTTTTTTTTTTAATTGTTATGTGTAGACATTTTTTCATTTGCCATGTTCAAGTTCAGTTGCTGTAAAAAGCCCTCCACAACTTCCATCAAATTGAAAAAAAAAAATTCCCTGTAGGGTACAATGGACTCGTAATTTCATCTTACGTCGCTTTACAAATGTCACAAGCCTTCCTCGTAAAAACCAGAAACTATGGAAGGAGAAATTAAGAGAGAAAATAATCAGAGAGATGCAGCAGACTGCAATGGATCTGAACAGATGATCAGGTAGTGGAGGTTCATTCACTCTTGGGTTTGGAGCACAAGGGCGCATGAACAACAAGCAAATAAGCACATCATTATTGGTTTTCCAGCCCTTCTCTGTCTTTTTTTTTTTTTTTTTTTTCATTTTTTTTGTCCTGAAAACAATACTAGTTGTTACTTATGTGCCCATTGTTGCTTTCCTAGCCACAGGAGAGGTCCCGTTGGAATTGGTTGGATAGTCACTTAATTCAATTCTGCTAAAGCCAAGATCTTATCCTTTAAAAGCTCAAATTTTTTTTAGACATTTGTGATTTAAAAAAACCTAAAAGTTTTTCATTTGTCTTTTAATCTTAACAATTCATATATCATTGTCATGTTCATTTAATATTAAGCACATATAAAATATGAAAATTATCATATCATAAATCAATACATTAAATACAAAATAATTTTTTTATTTTTATTAAATTTATATATAATTTTTATTAAAATTTTAAACTCTATTACTTGTATGCTTTTTTTTTTTTTTTGTTACCTTATCCTAATTAAATTATCAATTCCATATATCCCCACACAAGCTGGTAATTACTTCACAATGAGGAAAAGATAGCTACTATATATGAAAAATAGGGTCATCCTAGCATTGTGCCATTTGAAACTAGCTAGTAGAGATTCTCTCATATCTTTGAATATTCTTGCTAGTATTGCATTATGTCAAACACTATATATATTCAGCATCTGTTATCTTGATGTGGGGTTAATTACAATATTATTACATGATTGAAAGAGTGACAACTTGGGTTTGAAAATCATGTTGTATAGAAAATTGTTTCAACCATATATTATGATCATTATCAGTTTCAAATAATGAAAAAAAAATTTTAGGATGTCTCTGTTTAGTTTGCACTTTTGGTATGGGTAGGACATGATCTTTCTGGTTTTTATGTGATCATTGCCAAATGATCTGTGTATATATATATATATTTATATATGTATAAACACACATAACTATTGTTTGTTCAGTACTGTCATTCTAATTAATTACGGTGTCTAGTTTTATGGGAGGGGATCTATATATATAATAAAGGAATGGAAAGAGATGAACCAATTTTCTATCCTTTTGTGTAGTGCATTGGTTAGGATTAAAGCAATAATGCCAACAGAGATTTTAATTCTTCTCTTGCACATAGATATAACATGGATTGATATCATATGAATCATATACATTAATTTACAATTTTACAGCTTCAAATTTTATTTTACTATTGATTGAATTATGTGTCATTTGGATGATGGATGAAATGAGATTTTTATGTGTTATAGTATCCTTTTTATCACTGCAATTTTTTTTATTGGCGGGCTGAGAAGAAGAAACAAAAGAAGCAAAGCGTTGTCGGGTGCTGCTCACCCTTTTGCAGCATGCATCGTACATGTGTGCATAAATCCCTCGTGCTACTCACCCTTTGCGCTAGTGTTGTCGGGTAATGACACCATATTTCCAGTGTCCATTAATTTTTCTATATTTTACGAAATTTCTTTCAATTTTCCTTATTTCTTGACCTATCTATCTGTTTCGTCTATAATGTCAATTCTGGTCCATATGGAGCCGGTCGATCAAGATATTGATTTGTCAGCATCAATGCCATTAGTTTAGAAACACCAGGGTGTGGTTAAAAGCTAGCTCAGCTAACTTCATTTTTCGTATGGTCCTTTCATGTGTCTGATTGATTGTACCTACCCACTAGCTAGCCTGATCACATCAGAATCAGTTTTCTCTAGCAGTTTAGGGCCGTTCTCACGGTAAGAGAGAGGGGCAAAAGGCTACTTGGTTTTTAGTAGCCACGTTCAATGTCCCAAAGATGCACTTGTCAAGCGAGATGAAAATGGTATTCAGTAGGTTCTCTAAACTCAGATATTATCTATATACATATCTTGCAGGATAATTCTAGGTGTATGAGATTTACCCATGATGGTTATTATCTTCATTATCAAAAAAAAAAAAGAAAAGTAAGTCTCCAGTTACTTGATCTAGTGATCAAGATATTCTTAAAAAAGACATTAAGATTGGGGTTCCAGCCTTCCCACTCCTCTTAATATAGGGTTCTGTCCCCTTGAACGACCAAAAAAAAAAAAAAAGAAAGGCAATAAGTTATCATACCTAAGCTGTCGGTAATTTTAGAGAAATTCCTAGATCAGCATAAGGGCAATCAGCATCCTCCAGAAGTGTGATTGTTGTGGATTGTGCAAAATTCTTCATACAGCTTTAATGACTTACTATTCTTGGTGACTTGTAAAGTTATATAATCTTCTCTTATGTGTTAAAAAATGGGCCAGTTATTGACTTTCTAATCTGCCAGCTATATGGTTAATTGGGAATGGTCATCTCTTATCATTTGCATCCATTCAAAGGTTCTCAGCTTGTTTAATTATCTTCATCAACAACAGTTGTGTTGGACGCAGCCAGCAACCCTTTTATCATCCATCCGATGGGTAATTAATTGGTGTGACCTCCACCATTGACTCTGCACTTTTTTCCACAGCTCTACATTCATTATTGAATGAAGTGCTACTCCTATAGGATCCTTGAAGAAACATCACTCCCCTCGTTACAATCACCATCATGCACGAATTATGAGAAAGAAGTTGCTGTGTCTGCATCAATGTTAACCATGTTATAGTAAAAGGACACTAGGAGATTAGGACGGGCATATCCGGACATCAAAATTTCTTTTCAGTTATCGTCGACCTTTCCCTGTTCAAAACAACGACCCTATCACAGTCCCTTGATATAGATCAATGAAGGAAAACTAGAAAAGATGATTAGAGCAAGCATTTTTTTTTCTCAAAATGACTTTTAAAGCCTCGTGGATTTCCTTTGGCAAGGTATCTGTTTAGTGAAAAAAAAAAAAGGAAATTACAACAGGGAAAAAAATTAAACAAGGTTTCTTGTTTGTTTGGTAATACAACTTTTAGTACTATTGATTACGAAAGCTCTTTTGCCTGTCAGCAATTGAACTTATGTCTTCCATCGTGGCAGCAGCAAGCATCATCGTCAGAAGAAAGGCACTCAGCTTGGTGGAATGGCCCATCCTCCGTCTAGACGTTTTACTTATAGGGAGCTGGCCAATATAATCAATTGAATTATGACCCAAGAATTCTCTATGGATAGGGAAAGGGAAGAGATAAAAATAACTTTGAGGCAGTGCATTTTCAGTCAAGCTTTCGTAGAAGCCTGGAGTCATTAGACTTGATAACAACAGAACAACAATGTGACAGAATGCAGGACAGGGAAAATTTTAATTTTCGTTCTATAGAAGTATTTTCCTTTTCCAGATTCAGTTCTTTGATGTTCCTTTCTGTAATCTGCAGGAAACATTTTGGTCTGTTTCTTTTGTATACTATGCCAATGTATCATCAGAATTTGACTGTTTCAGTTCATTTTGGAAGTAGTGAAAATTTTATTCACAAAAGAAATGTGAAAAACAATTACAACTAATCTATAACTGAATGCTGGCTTCACAACCAGAGTACTTTAGTTGGTTTTCTGAATTCGTATTGTTTCTTCCAATCTTAAAACTGCCAGCTAGAAATGCAAAACATTGACAAAATAGTATAACGGCCCCCTATCTTTCTTGGGTCAAACAACAAACCGTTTGAGATTGTCCAGCCCAGTGAACCGCTGGGTTAGTGAGAAATAGAGCTCTGAGATGGGGTATTGTATCTTTCTACATTTGTTGAATTGTAGTGAAACTGTCCATGGTATTCAATGGAAGAAAAGTGCCCTTAAAATTTAAATCAGAATCAAGTTCAAGTAAACTCACGTTTTTCAAAACAGGTGATATTGCTTTCCGCTCCCTTTGGTCCATCCGTCCATTATCGAGCAGAAGAATTTATGGAGTAAATCCAAGAATCTCAAATAGGAGGGGAGATAGAATAGATATTACTAAAAGCAATGATGACATGAGACAAAGTGCAACCAATTGTGCTTGCAGAGTATTTTGTGACAAAAACATCAGTAGTAAGTTGAGATTTTTGCATAAACAATGGAAAATGAAAATTGGCTCTAGCATACTGTCTTCGCTAAAACCGTAGCAGTAGCAGCTCGTGCAACGCTCAAAGCTTGCAAACGAGCTGAAGCGGGTGTCTTAACTGTCTTGTCATGGGGGTTGCATTAGATTAATGCAGAATCGAAGTTACAGAGAAAGCAGAGTAGGCCACTGCAAAAAAAGTTTGGATTAGCTTAATAGGAGTCGAAGGGTGTGCCTAGATTACATTGGATTAGAGTTGCTTCATCGTAAAGCAAGGAGAATTCAGTGGCAACAACTGAAGGCAGGGTTAGTAGCAAAAGAAGAGGGAAGGATTTACAAGAGAGACAGATTTCACATGTCACTTTCAGAGAAATTTCACAATGAAATCACAAATTTACTAATCATCTATGTGTTATAATGACATTCTAACTAATCATGTGAAAAAGAGTAAAGGGGCAAGACAAGTTTGTAGCAGAAAAGAAAAGCAATCGGTTTCCCCTGCCAAAATTTTATGCTCCAAGAGAATTATGAACACGCACCCCAAACCTCCAAGCCATTGAGGAGGTCCAGTTTGAAAGTGATCTATACCCTGTCCTGCTACATTCCCCAATAACCCCTGGTCACTGCTATATATAGTCGTGAAAATGCAAAGTTTTCAAGCGCCATCACCCACAAGAGTGGGCAATGGGCATTTAATATATACCTATTCCATACGCCACAACCAACATGCTCTGAATAGCTACGGGGTGAAGTAACTCAATACACTGTCATTTGATGATAGTTATCTAATTCTGTCACACTGCACCAGGGTCTGAAATCCGGGTTCCTCTCATTGAACATGATTTTCTATTCTTTTACCTTTTTTTATTTCTAGTTTTTGGGAATTATTGGGAAAGAAAGGGAGGAAATCACCACATGAGCATATAAAGAAGTCAAGCAAAAATATAATGTAGAGCCTCTCATCAGAAAATATATAGTAATTGCAGAAAAGGGCAACTCATCCTTGTCCAATGCTAATTTCACCATGTATTATAACCAATAATTGAAGTCAGAAAACAGTAGCATAAACTCAACATCCATCCATATTCATTTATGAAACAAAAAGATACTTCAACTAAAGTCTTTACCAATTTATATCAACTAAACTGAAAGCCTAAGCATATTGAAAATGACCAAACCGACCTAGCATCTGGAATGCTTCTGCTCCACTACCATCCTAGCTTCTTCCATTGACTGACACCAAGCTCTGCACGTAACTGTAACCTTCTATATAGAAATCAACACAATCAACAGGAAGCCTTTTCGTTCCTTTATCAACTGGATCATACAAAAAAAAACTTGGATAATCCTCTCTTGCTCTACCTCCTATATTCTTAATCACCACTTCACGATCTATCCAAGTACCTATTGGAATCAAAGACTTTGAAAAATTCTCAATCACAAACATAATAGTCCATTGTTTACTCCCATCATCACAATCACTCAGTACCCAAAACTCGAAACGATTCATATTATCACCATTAGCAGCAAAAACTAATGGATATACAGCAATGGCCAATGATCCCATGTAAGACATGACCTTCACATTTGCAAGTCGAGTAACGGCTGGCAATGGTATCGTCTTAAAAACCTCTCTTCCCATATCAAAGGAAACAACAACCTTGCGATCGGCGAACCTTTCCAATCCAATGCCTACCCAATTCAAACTACCATTAACAACCACTCCATCCTGCCCTCCACATAACACAGCAAAGTCGAAACTTTCTTGTATTTCTTTCCAAACCCCATCCCTCCATGAATAAACTTCAACCCTCACAAATGGAAACGCATCATTTCTTCTAAAAGAAACGATTCTGACTAGCTTATAATCATTGTTGAAAGAATCAAAGCCGAACCCAAGAAAGACCAACCAAATAGGGTTATTTTTGGAGGAAGCAATCAAAGGAAAGAGGCCTTTAAATTGCTTAGTTCCAGGGTTCCATAAAACAAATTCGGAACCATAACAAGGGGAAACATCGAGACAAACCAAACCATCGACGGAACCCACGATTTTCGGAAACCGAGGAAGCGGTTCTTGCAAGGGGATCTTCAAGAGAAGGCTGCCGTAATTTCGAGTAGGGTTAGTGATCAGCCAGATCCCGAATCCCCCACCGGATTGGGTGTTGTAGCGGCGGATGAGGAGTGATGGATCGGGAGAAGAGCGGCTGAGATGGGTGGCCACCAAAGCAGGGGTGGAAGTGAGGTGGCCCCAGTTTTTGGAAACGGATTTGAATCGGGTTAGGGACTTGACAGGTAATCTAGAGAGGATGTCGGTGATGATATTTTGAGGTAATGACAATGAGGACGCCATAATTCTCGGCCTTCTTCCTGAGCAAGAATGCATTCGGCTGTTTCTCTCTGTCTTCTCCTTTTTAGCGTTTTGGTCTTCGGTCTTCTCCCCCAAGCAGTTGAATTTGTGGGGATAAAGTAAGATCTTTTGGCTGTTTATGGTTATTAATTATGGTCTTACGGATTTTAAAAAAAGAACAATTATTCTTCTAATTTATAATTATCTTATTCTAATAAATCCATAAATTATATATCTACAACTACATATTAAAACTATCTACAATTTTATTTTTGACAGCTGTTTTTGTATTTTTTGGACTTTTTCTGCTGCTTCGAGTCTTATTTTCCTCTTGTAAATTTAAAAAGTGGGAATTTCTGTCACTTCTAATGGGCTCCGAAGTCTGAATCGGTTGAATGCTTGAAAATGAATGTAAACCTTAGCCCCAGCACTGGTTGGACCTGGGCTTGTAATTTTGTATACATTTTTAGTGTTAAATGACTTGATGCTAAACATAGTGTTTCTCATTTTAATTGTTGTAACTTTTTAATATGCTTTTTAAGTCTATTTTGAGAGCTGATAGGATGTCTTCTTTGATAAATTTCTTTGTTCCCTTGCAATCTACCCTCCTTTTCCCAGGTTCAGGGAAATGTGAACTGAATGTTGTTGCATGAAACTAATGTGCAGCAGTCACTGCCACTGGGGTAACTAAAATCAATGCAGTTCATCAAACCAAATCTTTTGAAGCTATTAATATAGTCAATCGCGTACTAAACAAGAAGCATAGGCACATTGTACTTCTTGTCCATTTCAAAGGAAGATGTTCAGACCGAGTCATACTAAAGCACAACAAAATCCCCCAGCCACGGTCCAAAGTAATGTCTGATCCGCACGACAATGTTGAGGATATATGTTGGAAAGAACCCGTTCACATTCTTTAAAATCTGGTTTTTCCTTTTCAAGTCTGTTACTAGTGATTAGGCAACAAAAAGGATTGGAAAATTCCCAAGTTTCCAGCTGGAATAGACTGATTCATCCACCAAATAACTTTTCATAATAAAAGAGTTGTCTGGCAGATTATTTGAACTGGTGTAGTTCAACCCTACCATTAAAATTAGGGTCCCACCACTGTTCAATCCCATGAGCTCTTTTAAAATTTCGAAGTGGATTTTGATTAATTGTCAGATAAGCTGAAGGAAGCAGATGCAATGGTTCTGAATTCTTCTTCAATACGGTTGAGAAGAGACAAATAATTGAATTCTGGGTTGAAAGCCTTTCGATTTTCCCAGCTCCAATCTCCTCCATCTTTTTCCTGTGTTCAAAATATCCCTTATACTCTGAACAAATAAGATCAGATGGATTCACAAACAGGAAAGGAGTCCATGAAGATAATGTAGTAAATGGATCATCCTCAGGCTTTGGATGGCGACCCTTAATGGCAATTGTGAGTGCTGCATTAACTACACTATTCGTGAAGCGAATCCCATTTTTCAGTACTTGAGGCTTGAGTATTTCCACTGGGGCAGACAAAAATGGGGGATTAAAGAGGTATGTTTCCACCAAACAACCCAACTTAGTCAAGTTCTTCCCAGCCAGCAAAGCCATAGCTGACCCAAGTGAATGTCCTGCTAACCAAATGTTGGATCCATTTGCAGTAGCTGTAGCAGCTATATCCTCCACAAACTTCATGGCCAGCTGAAACCTGGAGCTTACATGAAGTCTGTTGCAGATGCAGAGCAAATCCAACTTGAGATCACGGAATATAGAGGCTGGAGTGTTCAGAGTACCCCGAAAGGCAATAACATAATTTGGGGCAATTTTTGGTGTAGATTTGCCAGCAGAGGAGTTGAATTCATAAATGGCACCAAAAACGGATCGATCAACATCATCTATAAGACGATGGATTAGTTGAAAATTAAATGATTCCCACCACGGAGGAGCATAAGCTTGGGGCCCTTGACGATTCTTCTGGCGATCACGTTCTAGAACATAAACGCCCTGAACCAAACTGGCAGCAATTGATCTTCGGTGATGTTCATTTGACCTGAAAAAATTCTCCTTCCTATTTAAAAGTTCAGAAATACTTCAAATAATCTATCCAGACTTATGATATCAGTAAAAATTTAGCTTTGAAGTCTCAATAATCTCATTTCCACGTTTTACCAACTCTCCATAGAGTGAAAAATCATATATAACTTTGGGCTTGTTGCTCTCCTGCTACCTAGCCAACATATTCACCATTCAACATCCTCTAAGACGGATTGAAATTCCTCTAAATGAGATAATAGCTGCATCCAAAGCTTTTACCAGTCAATGGCTGTAAGGTGTGAAGGTCCCGAATGACTGAAAATTGCACTGTCAGAGGCCATACCTAATTTTAAATATATTGAAGGAAGTAAGTGCATCACAAAAAACAAAAAAAGGAAAAACTTTTCTCCACAATAGACCAGCTAGATTCTAGCCAAATGGCTTAAGCGAAACCAGAGCTTGCATCGTGAAGGACAGATATAATAGTTGGCAGATTATGTTTCACCATTTATCTCATTACCGTACGATTTGTGTGATTTGGCTTCAAGATCATGGCAGGCAGGGGAGATTTTAATAGTTTTCTAAGCTTATATGTAGGAATCTAAATCCTGACAAGACAAGTATAATCATGTTAATTTTATCTAACACAAAAAAATTAATGAGTAAAGAAACCGTACCTTTAGGCCAATGAATTAAGATTTTCCAATCTTATTGGAAATTCTTTGGCGAGAGAGGAAGAAGCTGAGAGAGTTGCAGAAGAAGTTTTAGAACATGACTAGCAGCAATCATGGTGGCGTGAAATCAACGAACACAAGTGACAAGTTTTTTCTTTTTCTTTTTGACCTAAGAAAAAGAAAAAAAAAAAAAACTAAAAAGTTGAAGAGAAGAGCACTCCATGAGAATATTTCTTTTGGTCTGAAACTAGAATATAGCATCAAATCCTTATCCACGAAAAAAGAGCAATTATTCAGTTTTAAAACACCTGCGATCCATTCATTAAAAGGTAAAATACATTCCATTTTTCAGAATAATTGGTGGACGAACTTTCAGTGGAAATTGGAGAGCAAAAAGCCTATTTGAGACCAAAGAAGAGGCCAACATGACCAAGCATAATTCTCAAGTCCATCAAAGTTCCTTTGAATTACAGAAACATAACCGCAACATGCACAATGTAGATATAATGTTTTAGAAATCGGAATTCTTCAAGCCCTATCTGATTCTTTACACTTTTAGAAGACGATCAGTTTACATCTTCTATTTCTTATAAAGGTAACTAACGAGTAGAAATTACAATCCCCAGGGTTCTTCCACCAAAAAGTCAGTGATCTAACTTTCCTCTATGTCATCCACTAAAAAAGGTCATGAAAGAACATGTACTATCTGTATTCATGCAGTTCTGACTGACCATCTGTAAAAGGGTTATTTGGTTAAGTGAGGAAGCGTTCCAATCAAGTAAAATGGAGTGAACCGGAGTTCCTTGGTTAGATGAGAAAATGTTGCAATCAAATGAAACGGAGTGAACCAGAAGACGGCTGAAAGAAAGATTAGAGCAGTTTCTGAAGTATTGAGTGTGACAGCAGAATAAAACTAAGAAGGGAACTTAGAAGAGAGAATTGTAGAGAAAGTTTGAGAGAGAAAATTGTGAGAAATTTATCAAAGTCCAAAATCCTCTCCAAATGAGTTGTGGGAACTCCTATATGTAACTTTTCAAAATGAGAGTTACATAACATGAGTGTTGAATAAGAAAAAAGATGGAATTGACCATTACATAATGTTTTAATATATTGTCTCTCAGGAGTTTAATTAATTTTAGATGATGGAGATAGTAAATATAAAATATCACTATTTGCTCTAAAAGAAAGGAAGGAACACTAATACTTTAAAGAAGGGTTAAGGGATGATCTTTTAACTATCTTCATATTTGATCCATTAAGTCAAGTTCTTTAAAACATCTCAATTGTAGAATTAACTCAAGATTCTTGTTATATTCTAGGATTATTTTTACCTTTTCTTTTTTACGAAATAATATTTTATGAAGCATCTTTTATAAAATAATTCTTAGTAAAGTAATCTTCTATGAAAGAGCTTTCAATAAAAGTATTGGTATTGTTTCTTGAGATAGTTATTTCACGAATAACTAAGTGTTATTCCGTGAAAAAATTATTTCTTAAATAATTATTTCGTGAACAGTTATTCGTGAAAGAGTAATTTCGCAAAAGAAATTTTCTGTTAATAGTTGTTTTTTGAACAGTTATTTTATAAAATAGATGTTTCATGAATAATTGTTTTAATGTCTATTCCATGAAGGAATTTTCAATGAAACAACTTTTTTACTTGTTTCGAATTATCTTTATTGTGTATATGATGATGTTGTTCCTGTAAAATAACTTTAAAAAAACTTTAAGAGATGAAACATTAGTCGCCACAATTAAGTATGTCAATCATGATAACTAGGATTCCACTACCGGTGAATTCCATGAGTTCGTTAGAAATTTGGAGACTAGCCCAAATTAATAATGAGAGATAGGCCAAAGGAAGCAGATGTAAAGGTTCTGAATCGCTCTTCAGCGGAACCTGACAATAAACTCCTTATAGAATCCTGTGTTGCAATCCCCTCGAGTCTCAATGTTTCCAGCCCCAATCTCCTCCATCTTCCTCTTGTGTTCAAAATAGCCATTATACCAGACCCTTGTTTTTTTAATTATGACGTTTGCTACTTGAAACGTTCTTTTTTTAAGTTTACTACTTGACAAATCCCAGAAGTTTGATCTTCCAAATTTATTCAATTGCCTTAATGTCCTTGTATCTTGCAATGTTGTTAAGAACAAATTTAAGAATGTAATTACACATTGGAGTTCTTAATAAAGCAACTCCCTTCTGTGAAAGGAAGGTGTTTAACGGTCAATTGCAGTGAGGTGCAAAGGTCCTGAAAGGCAGAAAAATTCTCTTGTAGAGGCCGGCTTCGATTGTTTTCCCACTTTCTTCTCAACAAAGGGAAATAAAATGCTACAAAGTAGTATACAAAGATTCCCATGATTAATAAAACAGGGGATTTTACCTGGTTTATGTTGAATTCTTAATTTCAATTATCAAAATTTAAATTCTCATTACACTAGAGAGGTTTAAGTTTTTAGCGGCGTTTTTTTAAACGTTTAGCGGTGTTTATAAACGTTACTAAAGGATTTGTAGCGTTTGTGAAAAATACCAGTCAGAATACCGACTATACACATGTTATAGAAAATATCAGTGTTTTCTATAAAATGCCGATATATTAGAGACGTTTGTATATGGAAAACGCCGCTATATTAACGGCGTTTGTATATGACAAATGCTACTATATTAGTGACGTTTGTATCTAAAAAATGTCACTATTTTAGCAGCGTTTGTATCTTTGAGACACCCTAATTTAGTGTGTTTTTATCAGAAAAACGCCTTTACTTTGGTAG